TTGAAACGCGAAAATTAAAATCAAAATTGGTCGCCAAATGTTATTGGGGAGCCTGTAGTTGATGATTAGTAATAAAGAAGCTGAACACAACACTTTTACACAACGGATATTGGAACTTCATTAAAATCTCGGTTACGAAGGAAATCGGAAAATCTTCAAACTGAAATTCTCATCGATGAGATCGAGAGTTTGAGTTCAAGATTGAAAATTGAAACGCGAAAATTAAAATCAAAATTGGTCGCCAAATGTTATTGGGGAGCCTGTAGTTGATGATTAGTAATAAAGAAGCTGAACAGTATACGTAAATCAAAATTCTGAATTGCATGCTAATGACGTATTCTTTGACAAATTTGGAATTGATTCCCGCGCGTTGAAACCTCAGGGCATTGATATTTTTGATCAATTGACATAATAATTTTGCATAATAATTTTCTAAAAAGTAAATCTAGAGTCTGATTGCTCGTATAAATTCAAATAAATTTTATTTCATCAAAATTTCAATCAAGACTTGATCACCGAGATATATTTCATTGCAAATTCGGAACTCACGATAATGAGCGATAACTTTGTAAAAAAAATCATCGACAAAAAGATTTTTCATTAAATCCAGATCAAAGGTTCGCGCGAGACACCCTGTATAGGGGAAATTCGTGCAGCCGTGGTGCGTATGTGCGTGCGTGCGTGCGGAAAGGAATTCGGGTGCTCCCGATGCAATGCGATGCATCGCACGCATCGCACGATATCGATCGTGTCTGTGGGGTGTCGTTACAGTCGATGCACCCTATTGTGTCTCGAATTTGTTATACCGGGCCTTTCCGCTCCCACGATCGTCGGAATCAATCCTATTATCTTCGCACGCCACGTGACCGGGAGATTTACACAAGATTAGCGCGATTAGTCAAGGTACACGACGAATTGTAAAAATTATTACGTAGGTGTGTAAAACGACGCTATTTGTTTTGCCGTATTGCTTAATCTAGATCCGCGCCGATCGACGTGAGAAGAAAGTTTCTTGCTGATAAAATCGATAAATAATTGACCTCTCACTTATATAATGTAAAAAAAAGCCAAATACACATGTCGCACTTTCGCGCACAACGATATGTCGGAAACGCGTTAGATTATGAAAGATTACACTTTCGTGTGGTAACGGAATACTCGTGTGTATGTGTGTGAGTCATATATAAAATTAATTAATTAGCATTGATTTACGGGAAGAATTCCTTCGAGGCAAAGCCATTAAACAAGACTTTCCCCACGGCAAATAGCGTAATGCACGAAGATGAAACTCCTTTCAGGACATCGATAAGACGCACCCGAAGATCTAACTTTCTCCGTGGGAATCGTTATCACGATTTTCAGGTCATAAAGATAACATCCTAAAAAATTGTTTCATTTTATTTAGTCATTCTTATAATATTCTTTGTAGAGTCTCCCTGTATAATTACTTTTTCCAATTTTAATTATTCTCTCTCTTTTTCTCGAATTAATGTGTGTAAATTAAATTAAATTATTTGCAAACGATGGGAAATATTCCCATTTCAGAGTACCTGCGTGCACATCAGCGGAATGTTTCTATCTTCGCACATTTGGTAATTCTCGCACACTGAGAGAAAAGACTGGTAACTATAACAAACTGCATTTAGTTACAGAAATTCGTGGAATCCTTAGTAACTAATACTAAATATGATAATAATTACCAAATATTTAATAGATCGGGAGTATGACGTAATTGCATTCACAGTAACATCAATTAAATAATTTAGTAATAGTTACTTAATATTAAATATTTAATATGAAATATATTACAGTTATGAACAGATATTTGATAATTGTTATGAAATTGTTATATCCCATGTAATAAATGATTCAGTAGGTACGAGTTCTATTTTGTTACCAGTGTAAATATGTTTTGTTGCAGCACAACGAAAAATTCATTCATTTGCAGTTATTACAT